AGATAGATAGATAGATAGATAGATAGATAGATAGATAGATAGATAGATAGATAGACAGATAGATAGATAGATAGATAGATAGATATGCAATAAAGCCCAGTGTGCTTGATTCTAACGGAAAACTTCCTTCTTTACCATTATTCTGAGGGTTTAGCATCAAATTTCAAAAGTAGGCCTAGGAGTGTTTTACAGAAGCTCAACGTTTCATTTCAACCAAGGGGATCTCGAAAAATCATGTCTTTGGACTTCCACTGTGCTACAACTCCATGTTCAAAACTGCAAACTGCACAGATGTTATTTTATAAAAATACCCAAAAAAGCAGAAGGAATTACCAAAGCTCACACAAATGAATTTGTTAACTGCAATCAGCGGAAACTGGGATGCTACTAAATCCACAAACAGAATATAGTTTTGCAGTATTAGTACTTTATTTAAGTCTATAATCATTGATTCACCGAGCACAATGTTGCGAAAGAGATTTCCACCATGCCAGCCTGTTTCTTCAGTGAACTTTTATTTTTAGGGTGTGGAGGGGTTAGTAAATTGAAGAGGACTTTTAAAAAGATTGGACTAGCTCTGTGTAAGTACTGTTCAGGGACTATAGATATATTTTGTAGAGCATATTGGACAACCCAGACCTTCGTAAAATGAAGATCTACTACAAAATAGCTTCCACTGAGCGTTTGTTGTCTCTACCATACCATGCTAGGAATAACCCTAGGTCTACGAAAGACAGGCCTGTGGTCTTCGCTTAAAACATACTTAAGAAAGAAAAATAGCAATACACAATTGAATATCAAAGGAAATCAATCTAAGTTTTCATCAACCATGGTGACCCCTTAGTTAGTAATGTGCAAAATCTTGAGCATAATATGAACAGAACTTGACTAGAAAGAGGGACTCAAAGCTTTCAAGTCGGGACATTAATTTAATCAGGTCACATGTCTTTGAACCAATACAGTAAACTCGAAACGTTAATCTCTGCAACATTAAGGCTGCAAGAAAATCTGTTTAAAACAAACATGAGCTCCTGATCCTAGTTGGTTACCTCAAGGTTTACTTCACTGTGCTTTTGCAACCAGCACTAGTGTATTCATTTATATTATCCATTTTAGAGTTATCATTAAATAAAATGCCAGGGAAAAGGCTATTATCGGCTGTCTTAACCGTGACGTATTAGACCAAATGAGTAAATAGAGCTATAATGAGTACAGCTGCATTGTCTTTCAACCTGACAATATTATTCCCTTCATGTGACTGCTTTGTATTTGCAGAAGGGAAAATTCGTTAAAATCTGTCCCGCTATTGTTTTTCTCTTTACATTTTCCTTCTCTGCTTCAGCCTTGAAACGATGTCCGCTCTAACTCATGCAATGTTCCCTCTATAAACATGCACTGACCTTCCCTTGCTTAACACCAAAGATAGTAAATAACAAGATGGGCCACTCAGCCAAAAAAGTGTCCGCAGGAAGTATGCTCTTTGCTTCAGATGGCGCTGCAGTCTGTTTTGAAGCTCTCTTTCGTTTTTCCAGAAGAAAAATAGGAATAGCACCTCCTTGCGTGCTAGTTCAGTGCGGAGTTTTAGGGTTTTTTATTTTATTTTAATGACCTCTCACCTTTCATTCTAAAGTCAAATTAAACGAAGAAAACCACCACCCTTTCCTCCGGAAGAGGTTTTTTGTCAGTGTAACCATTTTAAAAAAGCGTTCTTCCGAAATTTATCCCAAAACTTGCTAGTTTCACTTTGATTTTTTAAAACTCAAGTAGGGTAACTCTGTTCGCAAAGAGTGCGCTTTTGTGAAGAGGGCGCCACCAAATTTTGAGGACACTTTTTTAATTGGCTCAAAGAGAGAAGTGGCCCATCTTGTTATGTACTATCATTGTTAACACACATTATGACATTTTTTTTAGAACAAGAGTTTTTCCAATCATACTAACAATACGCACTGTACATGTGGCTACCGCAATAGTAGAACGTTTTACTGCACCCAGAAACAAAATATTCCAACTGAAGTTCATTATAACGCAGATGGAATGATATTTCAGTAGCTTTGAATTAGTGAAGTGTCTGATCACAGTTTTCCCCCATTGAAAGGGACAAAGTCGACCCAGTTAGCCGTAGTTTGAACATCACATTTTGCAGAATGAAATTTAGAAAACAGGTGTAAAAACCGTGATGTTCCTGGTTTAAAAGTAAACCAGTATCAGCTGGAGAGAATAAAAATAGAGGAATATGCTCACATGAGACTAACCTCTCCCCTCTCACACAAGCCTGCCAAGAGGAGAGGGGCACCAGGAGCAGCAGGACCAGATTCCTCCTCCCCCGACTACTCTCAAACTAAACCCTTGAAAGAAAGACCCGAACACATCTTTAGGTCAATTGAAAAACCTTCCTCTCTGCACCAATATACCCAAAGAGAGAGTTCTGTGTACAGTAAAAGTGCCCATTGAAGGCAAACTTGCCAAGGCTAAAAAACAGCCTGACAATATGCAATGAAGCCATTTACGTAAAGATGGGTAAATGGTAAGTTTCCCCCTCCCGTTCATACTGTTGTCTTTTTGGACCCGTAAAAGAGACATCTATATCTCAGTAAGATCAAACATAGCTCCCATATCAACCGAACAGCGCATGAAAGCGCATGTGCACCCCAACAACCTATACTATGGTCCCAAGTTTGTCAACTGGTCGATGCAGAGAGGAGAGCAACTTAGGCCAAAGATCTCCTCGCTGCCTGTTGTCCCACAGCTCTCAGACTCACACATTACTCTCCTTCTTGTGCTCCAGCATGTCTTTGATGAGAACGTAATCCTTGAGTGCTCTGGGGACGGGCAAGCTCTCCACCTTCTCCCACAATTTGTGTCCGGCGTGACGTCGGATCACCTTGCGGCACAGCTGCTGGAGGGGCACCACGCGCTTCAGGGCAGTCCTTAGCCACACCAGCGCATCGTCCTGTTCACCTGGCCTCGCTTGGACGTAGCCGGCGTAGAAGTACATGCGTGCTGAGTAGTCCACGTGCCCGATCGTGGCCAGGAGGCGGCACAGCTTGTAATGCCCCCTCTCTGCGGCCAGTTTGAACACAGATTTGTAAATTCCATTAGGAAAATACTTGACTGGGACATCCAAGTCGATGTTGTACGCCAAGAGGAGCCACATGATGTCCATCTTATTCCCGGCCACGGCGTCGTGGATGGCCGTTTCTCCCTGGTGGTTGTAGACGTCATGACGACTGCCGGCTGCCAGGAGGAGCTCTACAACACGTGTGTAGTTTCGCTTGATCGCGATGTGAAGCGCCGTGTCCCCGGTTTTGAACTCCCTGCGATTCACGTCACAGCTAGCGGTAAGTAGAAGCTGCACCACCTCCTTGTGGTTGTAGCAGACAGCCTCCATGAGAGGACTGCGGCCCCAGTAGTTCTGGACATTGATCAAGCTGCCAGCTGACAGCAGGATATCGCTGATATCCACACACCCATTTCTTGCGGCGTAGTGAAGCGCCATGTCACAGTTTCTGTCCGTGATATTCAAATCTGCAGTCGCTCTCAAGAGGCGCAGTACGGCGTCGGTTTTATTGTTGCGCACGGCCTTCATGAGTGGCGTCTTAGAGGTGATATCTTGGCTGTTGACGTTCACACCACGCCTGATAAGCACGTCAAGGATCTGGCAATAGCCGTCGTCTGCTGCGTAATGACACGGGGAATTCCCGAACGTGTCTTTTGCGTCCAGCTTGGCACCGGCTGAGATGAGCAACAACATACATGCCATCTTGTGACTCTGAACGGCGAAGTGCAGGGCCGTACGCCTTAGCGTACCCGTGGTGTGATTCACGTCGCACTTCGCGTCGATCAGGTACTGAAGCATGTAGGTATGGCCACGATACGAGGCTAGGTGGATCGGGCAGAGTCCCGCGTCGTTCTTACGACGGACCTCCAGGAATTTCCCGTTGAGGTCTAATTTGTGCTGTGCCACCAGCCGCTTGAGCTGCTGGAGGTCATTGTTGAGCACGGCGTCGTAGAACTCCAGACCCGCCATTTGCGTGCGTAACAACATGGAGGCGGGTGACAGTTCTCCCTCTGCGGGAGCACAAACACACTCGCTAGCAATTTTACTGCGTTAGGGGAAGAGCGACTCACACGAAACTTTACCTTCTAGCTCGCTGTTGAAGTCGAAACGAACGTCGACCTCATCCAGTAAGCTCCCTGGTGTTAGTGAAGAAAGCACACACAAACTCACATGGGTAGGTAAACGAATAATGTTGGAATTCAAATTGAATCGAAACGCCAGCATCCATCATGGCGACGACAACAACATTGGCAAGACAAAACAAGAACAGCGTCCCCTAGGTCGTGCTCAGTGACGTAGCCAATAGCACACAAGGCTGCCGTGCGCTCCCTCGCTGCTCTGTATTTCCTCCCACCTCTCTCCCTCCCCTCCTCTCTCTCTCCCTCTTTCTAGAGAGCGCGTGAGGAATGACGGTTAATGTAATAACGCACGAGAATTTTTTATGATAATCGCGGTCAGTGAGCAAGAAGCTGAGCCGCGCATGGCCTACAAGAAGAAGAAGAGAGCCACCAAGGTGTAGATCGGTGTAGAGGGCAGTGCGAGAGGAGAGGAGGAGAGGGAGGGTACTAAAGGCCAGCCAACTGTCCTGAGCTGTATGCTGCTGGCTAGCATTTGCTTAAGTGGAACGCCCATCAACCCGACGGACTTGGTCAGTATCATCAAACTCTGACATGATTGGTTCATACTATTAATGTTGTCGATGCATATTATACTTGCTGGACCCCCTTTCGATGAAAAGAATGATCGGAGCATTAACATCCACTGAAAGTCATTGGCCTACTAGATCTATATTTACACTCCACTGGAATGGAGAAATAAATCTTGAATGATACAAAAAAGAAGGTCTAGATGTAGAGATGTATAGATTGATTCTCTATTCCGCTTTCGTGGTTGTACACTCCAGAATTTCAAAGGTGTAGAATCAATAGTGCGCATGGCTAGTGAACGAAGATTAGATGTAAACGAAACTAATGGAAAACTAAAAATTAATGTTAAACTACAGTGTCTTCAGACTCCTTAATATAACTGTGCACCCTTTAACTGATTCTGAACCACCGTTATTTTTTTTTAAATTCGAAAGTTAAGTGGTTCGGAAGTTTTAGGCGGCCATAGTGACGACTTTCACAAATATAATATGTATAGATTTCGCACGGGAACGTACAATAAATTAGAAAAATACATGTTGATCTCCGATGTGGAAAGGAAAAGCATCTCGATCGGAATCTTGTTATAGTCTTCTTTGTCAACAGAATCAACATTGTTCTACATAGCATTAAGACAATTCATCTGTTGTGCTTTACACTTTTCTTGAATAGATGGAGATTTGAGAACTCGCGACCTGTGCCATAAATGAAACTGTTGAATGGGCAGACAGTCGGAAAAATGAGCACACCCCTGTAAGCCTTCCGCACGAAGCAGCACTGCCTCGGCATTCGCCGGCTTGGATGGACGATAATCGATCGATGAGGAGGCTGTTATAGGTGCCGCGCCGTGAGCTGCACGCGCGTGCAGAGAGAGAGAGAGAGAGAGAGAGAGAGAGAGAGTATGTGTGTATACTGTTTGTGTGTGTATGTGTGTGTGTGTGTGTGTGTGTGTGTGAGAGAGCAAGAGAAAGAGAGAGAGAGAGAGAAAGAATCATCTTAATTTCAATGTAAAAAAACCCAAAAACTCTTATGTAATGACGTCAAGATCTGACATCTGCGGGTCAGCCCTCAGCTACATTACT